TGTATATATATATGTATATGTATATATATATATATATGTATATATATATATATATATATATATATATATATATATATATATATATATATATATATATGTGTATATATATATATATATATGTGTATATATATATATGTATATATATATATATATATACACAGAAGAATGCTGAAAACAAACAGCCATTGACTTCTGTAGTAAGTTATTTTTGTTCCTAATATGGAAGTCAATGATTGCTTTTCCTTCAAAATATCTTGTTTAGTGTTCAACAGAAGAAATGTATTTAGTTTGGACGTGCTTAAATAAACCTGGAAACAGCCCTAGATAACTGCTGCATAAATACCAAAGTACAGCAGCGGAGTTCCTTGAGTATTACATATAGTTTCTAGCCATATCAGTCTAGAAAACGGCGCCTTTTTATTTTCTTTTGGTCTTAGTGCACAGTGTAACAACAGAAGAGTCAAGCTAGAAAAACTGACCATTTTTGAGATGCTAATGGTCTAATTTGATTCAATGATTTATGCTAAGCTAAATGTGCATCCGCCAGATCCAGATATCAGCTGAATTGATTTAAAATAAGTGGTAAAACTCAACTCTTTAACTCGAGGGAAGCTGTAAAATGAGCTTTTATTTGAAAACGAAACAGACAAGCGTTCATTTTAGCAAGCATTAGGAAGTCTGACAATGTTTTATGCTAGTACATGTGGCAGCTTTTGCCGTTTGATTATGTAAACATGAGTTTTCCCTTCAAACTGTTTTTGGTAGGTTAATCTTACAGCTCCCCCAGAGTGAAACGGGTGACTTTTAGCATTTTTGACTCCATTCAGACGATCTCTGGATCTAGCTGAGCTCCTTTAGCTTAGCTTAGCATAATTCATTGAATCGCATTAGACCATTAGCATCTGAGAATTGACCTAAGAGTTTTGATCATTTTCTTATTTACAGCTTGACTCTTCTGTGGTTATACTGTGCACGAATACTGAAAATTAATGCAGTTATAATATACAATTTCTAAAATAGCTAGTTGGCTTCATAACCACTGTGAAATATCATGGTACGGCAGCAAAGCTCCTTTATTATTACGCCAGAATGAAAGTATAGTTAGAAAATGGCACTTTTTATTTTCTTTTGGTCTTAATAGAGCACAGTGTAACTGAATAGGCATCAAGCTATAAGTAGGAAAATCATCAAAACTGGCAATCTTTGAGATGCTAATGGTCTAATCTGATATAATGAATTATGCTAAGCTAAGCTTAAACCGCTTCTCACAGACTCTGAGATTGGCTGAATTGATTAAAAACTGGTAAAACTCAACTTTTTAACTCGAGGGAAGCTGTAAAATTAGCTTTTATTCAAAAACAAAACAGACAAGTGTTCATTTTAGCAGGTATTAGAAAGTCTGACAATGTTTTATGCTAGTACATGTGGCAGCTTTTGCTGTTTTTATTATGTAAACATGAGTTTTCCCCTCAAACTGTTTTCGGGAAACAGGCTAATTTTACAGCTCCCCCAGAGTGAAACAGGTGACTTTTATCATTTTAGACTCCATTCAGCCGATCTCAGAATCTAGCTGAGCTCCTTTAGCTTAGCTTAGCATAATTCATTGAATCGGATTAGACCATTAGCATCTGATAAATGACCAAACAGTTTTGATCATTTTCTTATTTACAGCTTGACTCTTCTTTAGTTATACTGTGCACGAATGCTGAAAATTAATGCAATTATAATACACAATTTCTAAAATAGCTAGTTGGCTTCATAACTGCTGTGTAATATCATGGTACGGCAGCAAAGTTCCTTGATTATTATGCCAGAATGAAAGTATAGTTTGAAAATGCCGCCTTTTTTATTTTCTTTTGCTCTTAGTGGACAGTGTAACTACATAAGCATCAAGCTAGGAATACTCTGATCATTTTTGAGATGCTAATGGTCTAATCTGATTCAATGATCTATGCTAAGCTAAGCTAAACCTGCTTTTTCCACACCCAGAGATTGGCTGAATTGATTTTTAAAAAATGGTCTAAGGAAAAAACTCTAAGGAAGCTGTTAAATGTCTTTCTTCAAAAACGCCTGTTTGAGTTTCTTCTGTTGAACACAGCGGAGGATATACTGAAGAATGCTGGAAAACCTTTGACTTCCATAGTATTTATTTATTTTGTTCCTAATATGAAAGTCAATGGCTGTTTTCTCTTTTAAAGTATCTTGTTTAGTGTTCAGCAGAAGAAAGATATTTAGTTTGGAGTAAATGATGTGGACGTTTTCATTTTGGGGTGAGCTGTCCCTTTAATGTTACCTTTAGAATGTTACTGTTTGTTTAGTTTAAGCATCATATGAGGATGTGAATGGAAAGTGTTTTGGTGTGATGTAGAAACACGGGTTTGGGTCACATTTCACTAATTTTTTTAAAAACATTGTGAAACATTGTGTTTTCATGTCTTAAGCACTGTTGCATCTTAACTGATATAAATGGAGTTGTTTTCATTGGCAGTATTTTTTTCATTCATTCCTAGTTTACTTTTCTGCTCAATGTTTTCCGGTCTTTATTAAAAATGAAACAAAAACAAAAATGAAAAAAAAAAAAACATTTAAATTTATCACCTTTTTAAAGTATTATTTTGATTAATGCTTCAGAAATGCAACAACACATTTGTTTGACATTAATAGTCACATGACTAGCAGGCCAATGAAATATTTAATGTTTTTGGTCAATATTTCAAAGATTTACCGACACATTTTCATGGCATTAGTGGTCACATGAGATGCAGGTTAATGCATTAACTATACAAATAAATAAATATTCATAAATAAATGTAAATATTAAAAACATTTTAAAACACAAAACATTTATATTTTTGTAAATTTAATTTCATTTAATTTAATTTAAATAATCATTTTTCTGATTTAAGTAACTAGTTAAACCAAACCATTTAATGACCTTTTAATCCACTCAAGATTCCCCTGCAGCTCCCTCTTGAACCTGAAGGAGTGTGCGGAGCCAAGTTTGGCGATGTCATTTTTATCTTAAATTTTATTTTTATAACCTGTCAGCAAAATATATATATAAAAAAAAAAAAAAAGCCCTCTGCATCTTTTTTTTTCCTCTAATTTTAAGTCGTCTTCTACAGCTACCTCTTTTATAAAAATGGCCTAGCTGCTACACAACACTGGCCACTTTATTAGGTACACCTTACTAATACCGGGTTGGAGCCCCTTTTGCCTTCAGAACTGCCACAGGTGCAGAGATTCAACAAGCTACTGGAAATATCAATACTACATATTGACATGATAGCATCACACAGTTGCTGCAGATTTGTCGGCTGCACATCCATGATGCCAAACTCCCAATCCACCACATACCGAAGGTGCTCTATTGGATTGAGTTCTGGTGACTGTGGAGGCCATTTGAGTACAGTGAACTCATTGTCATGTTCAAGAAACCAGTCTGAGATGATTCACGCTTTATGACATGGCGCACTATCTTGCTGTTAGTAGCCATCAGAAGATGGGTCCACTGTGGTCATAAAGGGATGGACATGATCAGCAACATTTGGTACTAATGGGCCCAAAGTGTGTCAAGAAAATCTCCCCCACACCATTACACCACCACCACCAGCCTGAACTATTGATACAAGGCAGGATGGATCCATGCTTTCATTTTGTTGACACCAAATTCTGACTTGACCATCTGAATGTGGCAGCAGAAATGGACTCATCAGAGCAGGCAACGTTTCTCCGATCTACTATTGTCCAATTTTGGTGAGCCTGTGTGAATTGTAGCCTCAGTTTCCTGTTCTCTACCAACAACCATGCCACGTTCAAAGTCACTTAAATCCCCTTTCTTCTCCATTCTGGTTCTCGGTTTGAACTGCAGCAGATCGTCTAGACCAGGTGTTCTCAACTGGTTTGGCCATGGGACCCACATTTTTACATGGTCATCAAGCCGCGACCCAAATTTTTCGGAACTGTGGAAATATAAATTTCTCTCAACTAATTCCAAATGAACAATCTACGTATAACTGAAGAGTTATATTCTTTGGTTTTTAATTAGATCATTTCATTAACATCCCAGCTAGGAGGGACATTAACCTTTTAGCCCCTTTCACACAGTGATACCGGTAAATATCTGGAAAATTTCCGGAACGACTTTACCGGTATATTGAAAAAAGCGCTGTTCACACAGGCGAGGACGTCACGGAAATTTTCCGGAAAAGAGCATTCACACATCTATTCCAAAATACCGGTAAATTCTGACATCATTCACCACAAATGAGCTTTAAACGGCTGCGCTTGTATTTGTAAACATTTGACTAAATTACAAACTCTGTGGATGATCAATATTGTGAACAACTTTCGCAGGATCACTTTCGCATGTCGAGATGTTCATAATATGTGCGTGTGCAGGAGCTCATAGGCGCACGCAAAGCTTGAAGGTAAACAAACAACGGCTTGTCATAAGCATCTCATCGATGATTATTTACACAGTTGGCATTAAGAAGAACATATAAACGTGATCTGACTAACTTCTAGCAGCTAAATGTGTCTGGAAAAATATTCAAAGGCTTTTATCCTCACAAACCGCGCGGACGTAAATGCGTCTGTCTGTTGTGATTGTCTAAAGCAGACGTCTCACGTCAGCACGTTCTAGACGTGCACGCGCTTATTCCGGCAATCTTCCTTCTGCATTCACACAGCGCAGCATTCTGGCAAATTGCCGGTAATGTTACAACTTCTCTTTCCGGAAAATAGCCAGAACGAATTTACCGGTATTTTCAAAAAGGACCTGTTCACACATACAACCTTTCGGAAAGGTCTGTATGTGTGAAAGGGGCTTTTGTCTTTCTGATTACAGGCTGAGCCAAAGTAATGCAAATTGTCAGTTTCACAGCATGGTTGTGTCTATTGTTTTTCTCTTTTCGATCAACTGGTCAGGCGGTTTCTGTCTCCAGAACATGATGAGATCAATGCCTGAAAGAGCAGTTTACCCTGCCGACCACAACTCTTAATTTGCATGCTTTGTTTAGCCATATCCCCTCCTCCTAAGAACACAATATAGACATGGCATCTTTGTCTTAATTCAGACTTGTGACAGACTTGTGAAAGAACTTGCAGACTGCGGACCTCTAGTAGGCTCTTGCAGACACATGGACATCTTAAAGACGCTGTATGACTGCAGATTAACCAACACAACTCAATAAAGCAATCATGCTTGTTTTGAGTCTCCTGGACTGGGTTCTCTCTTCTTTTTCACTCATTTATTTTTTTTACAACAGAACTATAAAAGTGACCGGTGTACCTACTAAAGTGACCGGTGAGTGTGTGTGCCCAAGTCATTGGGCATGTTTCCATTGACCTATTCCTAACATTACATTAATAAACACTGGATGAAAATGTGCATTTAAAAGTGCAAATGTGTAAAAAGAGCATTTGATAAGTGTAAAAATATGCACTCAGTTAAGCAATTTGTGAAATTACATAAAAGAACACTGGATGGAAATGTGCGTAAGTTCTAAAATGTGCAATTGCGTATTAAGAAATAAATGTATAACTGTATTTTAATTATGCCTAAAATAACCTTGGATGGAAACAGCAAGATGTGCCAACAACTTATAGAAATGTGCACATAATATCATATGCATAACTTGGCAAATGTTTGTCCGACCAAAAAAAGAGAAAAAAGGGGGTGGGGGAGTTTAAAGGAGTGCACAGAACACCGACATTTCAGATTGCTCTGGGATTTGCTCTGGACTTTTTCGGCTTTATTGTAAAGTATTCTGTAAAGGGTAACACTTTACAATAAGGTTCGTTAGGTAATGCATTTACTAACATTAATTAATCATGAACAACACATGTACAGCATTTATTAATCATAATTGAACATTTACTCATGCATTATTAACATTTAAGTCCATGTTTGTTAACATTAGTTAATGCCCCATGAGTTAACATGAACTAACAATGAACTACTGTATTTTCATTAACATTTACTAACATGAATAAATACTGTAGTGAATGTACTGTTTATTGTTTGTTCATGTTAGTAAATGCATTAATTAACATTAACTAATAAACCTTATTGTAAAGTGTGACCCTGTAAAGTACATCTGGTATTGAAACAGCGGCATGGTGGCTCAGTGGTTCGCACTGTCGCCTAACAGCAAGAAGGTCGTTGGTTTGAGTCCAGGCTGGGTCAGTTGGGATTTCTGTGTGGAGTTTGCATGTTCTCCCCATGTTGGTGTCAGTTTCCTCTAGGTCAGGGGTCTCAAACTCAATTTACCTGGGGGCCGCAGGAGGCAAAGTCTGGGTGAGGCTGGGCCGCATAAGGGATTTCACAAAAAAAAGTCCTCAAATGTCATTATTAACAGTTTTAATTATTTCTTCTGAACATGAAGTGTCCTGAACATTAATAGAACATTGAGTGAAGATTATGAACAGTTCTTCTGAACATGGCATCTTTTGCCTACTTCTTGCTGCCAGAGACTTGACAGCGCTTCTTCTCACAAATCTGAACCACATTTGGCTTTAGAGCGGAAGCAGTTGAGACCCTCAGTATGGCTTGAAGATGATCATCATTAAGTCTAGACCTGTACTTTGACTTATTGAAGTCCTAGGGAAAAAAGTGGGGGAACTCACTCAAAACTTCCATTCCCTCACCTAAAAAAAGGCGTATATATGTATAAATAAAACACCCCCACCCCACTCCAGTCACATCAGTCTGTACCAGTCTGTATCTACCTATAATATCAACAGGACAGGCACGTGCACACATAGGGCTCAACCTGTGCAGTGCACATGCCCTTTTTAGTCTTGCATAGAAAGTGCCCTTCCAAAATGATCAAAAGTGCCCCCGCAACACGACACACCCTCGGTCCCGCCCTTCAGTAGGCGCGCGATAACACCGCTCTTGAGTACGCGCGCGACAACGCGCATTGAGTGACAAGCGCGCTGTGTACGGATAGAATCAGCGGAGCGGGGAGCGCTCTCTCTCCCCGCTCCGCTGATTCTGTCAGAGTACAGCGGTTGGCTCGGGCCACAAAATATTGCACTGAGGGCCGCAAATGGCCCGCGGGCCGCGAGTTTGAGACCCCTGCTCTAGGTGCTCCGGTTTCCCCCAAAGTCCAAACACATGCTCTATAGGGGAATTGGATAACCTAAACTGGCCGTAGTGTGTGTGAATGAGGGTGTATGGATGTTTCCCCGTACTGCAGGGGTGTCCAAACTCAGTCCGGTAGGGCCGGTGTCCTGCATATTTTAGTTCCAACCCCTATTAAACACATCTGAACCAGCTAATCTCTTTCTAGGTATACTTGACACTCGTGTGTTCGGAGGAAGTTAGAGCTAAACTTTGCAGGACACCGTCCCTCCAGGACCGAGTTTGGACACTTCTGCCATACTGGATTGCGGCTGCAAGGTCATCCGCTGCGTAAAACATATGCTGGAATAGTTGGTAGTTCATTCCGCTGTGGCGACCTCTGATAAATAAGAGAATAAGCTAAGGGAAAATTAATGGTATTGAAACCTTCAAACTGAGCTTGATTGATGTACGGAAAGGCCGGACCCAAGACACCATTGGCCAACACCAGTCTGTTACGATTCCCACATTTCAGAGTTCAGCTGGAGCGGCTCTCATATCTCTCCCGTATTGCCTGAAGTACAAGTGTGAGTGATACTGAAGCTCAGGCAACATCATCCGCACACAGAAGCCCTGATCCTGCAGCGAGAGGTTTCCCTTCACTTCATATCCCACGACGGTAACCGTCTCCGTCTGCCACGGTCGCAGCAGGTCCTCCAGCTCTCCAGGGGGCACTGCAGCCCTCGAGACACATTTCCGCCGAATACTCTCTGTAGATTCCCGAAGACGCGCAGTCTCCGCTTTTAACCTCTCCATCCCAAACTGAGCCGCCTTCTCCCAGAACACCTGCACGAAGAAGTCGTAGAGAAGCGTGTCCAGGACGTTCCAGGATCGCAGTTTGGCTTGAATATTCTCCGTTAGCTCGGTTTTGCTGCTGCTAGCACGAGCGTTGAGTTGAAGATAAGCCAAATCTTCATGATCAAGTCCGAGAAGAGATCCCAGGAGAATTAGGGACTCGTCAAAGTGTTCGGCGATCATCACCAGGTGAAACGCCTCCTCCAGTTGCGCCAGGTCTTCAGGCCAGGAGCTGTTCCACTTTTGATTGTTCAGCCCCATGTCGAAGCTCATGGGATTTTTGGCTAGTCCGTTCCACGGCTCCGTTGGGTTCCAGAAGGTCTCCGGAGAGTCCAGGAAGACTGAGAGTGCAGGTTTGCCCGTGTTGCTGGCGGCTCGCTGTGCACTGAGGAATGCGGGGACGGTGTAGGTGTGGTATCTGAAGACTGACTCAAAGGTTTTGATTGGGTCACGCAGCAGTGTGATGAAGACTGTGTTCTGGGGCATCACCTTCCTCACCTGCCGCAGGTCCAAACGCATGTGACTGCACAGCAGGTCAAACTGAGATGATCCCTCGGGCAGCTCGTCCACTGATGATGCTCTGAATCTGAAAGAGAGAGAGAGAGTGCGATTTCAGTTTCATACTTGCCATTAAAGCTGTGGTCAAACATGCAAGACAACAAGAGAGATTTCTCCTTATTTACATGGAACCAATTCACAGGTCAGAGTTAACCAAGCTTAAACTATGTTGCGTAGTGACTTGCGCTTATGGCTTTAATGGTTGAGTAATGGTCATACGAGAGAGGTTTGACTCTCCTCTCAAATGATTCAAATCATTGGCTGAAACTGCATACTTCCATACTATACAGTATGCTAAAATCAGTATGCGGGCTGAGTAGTATGTCCGAATTTATAGAATTCGAAAAACAGTATGCGAGAAGCACCCGGAGGACCTACTACTTCCGGCAAGATTCTGGAGTGCGCATCCCATGCATGCTGCGCTATCCCATGATGCCCCGCGAGAGAATTCATGTAAGGGAGTAAAGCGACGAAAATTACGCAGGTACGTCTGACTGTCAAAATGGCGGATGTAGTACGTCCGAATTCCATTCATACTGTACAGAACGTATTTTTCTAACGGCCAAGTAGTACGTTTAAATTCAAATGCAGTACCTACTGAGTAGTAGGTGGTTTTGGATGCAGCCAATGACTTCTGGTGGCCGCCATGGCAGTTTCTCAATTTCAAGAATGCAGAGAACGGACTTGTGTTCTTGTGGAGGCCGTTCTTGCTAAATCTTGTAAGAATTGAAATATTGCAAATATTTTTGATGTCTTTGACAATTCAAAACATGAACTGAAAACAGAGACTGGTGACTTAACAACCCAGTAGGTAGGAATGCGGGAAAAACTAGTTCCTGCTGCATTTGCATCTGAGACTGCTGAAACTCGGCTTCATCCCCCCATCTCACGCATATGGTCATTTCAATGTTTGAATGTTCTAGATTAACCAAACTGACTTTTACTATCATGTTTGATATCATTTGAAATGTCTCAGTGCGATTGGTACAATGGTCTCATTCTCTCAGAAATAGACATAATCAAAACAATAAATATATAACTGCAGGCATCTTTTGAACCACTGTGAAGGGTGTGACTTTCCACTAAGTGTTAATGCCTTTTGTTATTCACACCCCCTTCCTTGAGGGAATTCTTGGATTATTTAAGGTAAGGGTTGAGAAAGACTCGGCGCGATTCTGCCTACCCAGATCAGCCCATAACATGGAGCCTAGGCTCCACGTTATGTAAAATTTACACGTTATGTAAAAAGTCAGGAATGCATCTTTTAATCTTGGATTTATCTTTGATAATTTGATGTTTTGTATTGATCGTTTATGAATTGACTGATTGAATTTGGCATAATACATTTACCTGACTAATAAATTATCTTTTGAATTATTCAAATAGTCCTCGTGTTATTATCACTGATAAATGTTGTTGTCCATAGCACTACAAGCCACTGTACAGCTTAGTAATGGACTAAAACATGTTAGACAGAGCAGCGTGGCACGCTATACAATGTTGTTAGAGATCCGACTAGCAAATTGGCATTATTTCATGTATACGTAGACTGCAAAAGGCCAACTATGGGTTTTCTATTTAGAACAACAAAATATTGTTGAAACTACTTTAAATGTGGATATTTAGGCCTTCATCTACAAACTTATAATCCTGTGCGATTATTATTAAAATACTTTGTCTTGATGAAGTAGATAACAGATCTATGGGGACCACATAAAAATCTCCTAAATTGAGTAAGTAGGGTTCTGCCTTCTTAGGAGAGTGGTTAATCGCCTCTGTTTAATGACCAAGACTGACAAGCTTGTATTAAGAGATTGTATACCCAGCCGGTGCAAGACTCGAGATGCTATAGGAATCTGAATAAATGAGAATAAGGTATAATAACAAATCAAAAGAATATTCAATCATAATCTAAATTAATGTGAACGGAAACAAAATAACCTTCTCAATGTTTTATAATTGGAGTCAGATAAAACGAGGATAAATATATTAATATTCTAAACCACCTCATACTAAAATTGGAGTCAGATATGAGCTAAGTTTAATATAAATCAACATTGTGCACTGGAAAGACCGAACATGCAGTGAACTTTCATCCACCATTGGATACCGTCATTGGACCAACTGGCTGGACCCTACACAATCTGATATTTAATAATAAAAATGCTGCCCACCTCCTTACTCCCTCTCATAGATATATACTCTAGATCAGTGTTTCTCAACTGGTGGGTCGCGACCCAAAAGTGGGTCACGGGAACATTTTTAGTGGGTCGCGGAGTGTATGGTCAAAAAAAACAAAAGTTCAAATTTTTACTCATTTTGCTTATACCGGACTTTTATTTTGAAATGCGTGTGCGACAACCCTACCGTTTGACATGTGAAATTTCATTCAATTATTGCAACAGATATGTCGAATATGTAAAGGATGGATATATATGTATGTATATATATATATATATATATATATATATATATATATATATATATATATATATATATATATATATATATATATATATATATATATATATATATATATATATATATATATATATATATATAT